AGCTAAACCTCGTGCACTCTGAAGGGCGTGCGTGGCCTGACGCCTGACCAGCATAGGTTGAAGTTGAAACTTGAAATTAAATATTTAGAGTCTTTGGTGGAGGGGGGGGATCATGGAGGAAAAAGGGGAGGTTGGGGTACCTATTACTGACACGCGTAGCCCGATTCTAACTACCATTCCCGTGAACAGGAAACAGTTAAAGTGACTGATGCTCTGAGGTAGGGGTGGTGTTGGGGTGACGGGATTTGATCCCGTAACCTGGCCCAAGTGATTTCAGTTGGTGAAAGTGGGCCCCACCATAGCTTCAAATCTATATTCCAATTGAGGGAAGAGAGCAGGAGGAGCAGGAAGTGCACGGAGTGGGGAGGATATAGGGAGCATCAGGAAGTGGATGTGAATTTAAAAAAACAATTGAAGCAAGACATTTTTTTTTTCTTCAGATAAAGTAAAAAGTTACGAAAGACTAACGAGCCTAGCGCAGTTGGTACGCCCACAAACCGTTGAAACTTGAAATACAGACCCAAGTTCGAACCCAGATACAAACAGATGACCAGAAAGTTCTGAATTACCTGGGGCCGATCAGTTCAATGGTGATATCTCAAGGCGGCCCCCCTTATATATAAAAAAAAAGCAAAACTGACTAGCAGACCCTTGAAAACCTCATGCTGCTGGGGTTGGGCCACATTCAGCAGGGGCAGGTTGCGGGTTCAAATCTCGCTCGGGCAGGTTTCGGTCCTAATCAGCACAAGGGGGTACTGACCTGCAATGTGCGCAGGATGCACGTGGGGGAACGCAGTGTGAAGGCTGCAGCAGTGCAGCACAAGTATAGGGTAACACCGCAACAACGGTAACACGTAAAATTTGAGAAAAAGCTAAACCTCGTGCACTCTGAAGGGCGTGCGTGGCCTGACGCCTGACCAGCATAGGTTGAAGTTGAAACTTGAAATTAAATATTTAGAGTCTTTAAGACCGTTTTCCCGTTCACAGCTTACAGGGCGCGGCACCAGCACACAACCAATAAGCTAAACCTCGTGCACTCTGAAGGGCATGCGTGGCCTGACGCCCGACTAGCATAGGTTGAAGTTGAAACTTGAAATTAAATATTTAGACCGTTTTCCCGTTCACAGCTTACAGGGCGCGGCACCAGAACACAACCAATATAGTGACATGTCCTGATGACATATATAATATATTATATATGAATTGACACCAACCATGCACCACGCAATTTACACGAATGTGACACCCAACTGAGTGCACACAGAACAAACATGAGAAGTGAGCCCAAATTTTTTCTCTGCAAGTCAACTCTAGTACGCAACACTGTCTTGGTACACGCTGGACAGCTATGGTCGCCAGCCAGCAACATCACACAGGTATGTCTCTCTTTCTCTCTCCCCTCTCTCTCTCCTTCTACGTTACACTCGGCACCACGATCTTCTCTGAATACCTCTCGCATCTCTCCAGTCCCTAACTACAGTTATGGGCGCCGTGCGCTGCCGACTGCTTCCTGCAGCAGCCAAGAACCACTCATCGCACAATAGTGCAGCTGCGCTTCACCCTAAACACACGAGTGAATATGTGATGACAGCTTCAATAATTGGATTTTTGTATGTGACGCTTGGTTCACGACTTCTTCCGGTACGGGACTGTGGCCGATGTCATTGCTTTTGGAAGATCCTTCACTTTCCTAAGATTTTGCTGCTGACTAGTAAGGGAGTGGGACTGGGGCTTCTGGGACTTCCTGAGACTTTCCTAGGACTGGGACTTCCTGGGACTTCCTGGGACTCTCCTGGGACTGACAAACAGATAGGCCTACCGACTTCCACGGACTTTTCCTAAGCCTACCAGTACGTACAGGAATGTACTTGAGATGGACTGCGAGTATTGTGCAAGGAGTATGAGCGGGAGCGATAGACAGAAATCCAAATTGCAAAGTCACGATGTAGTCCAGATAGTCATGTACTGTGCAGAGAGCACAATGCACCAAGATACCATCCAAATAAAAGCAATACAATGAACTCAAATGTCAATGCCGACGTTCTCTAGCCACACCAACATAGTATCCAATGCGGCTCCTACTGTTTGGCGCCCAGTGACCAGCCTACACTACTCAGACTATCTAACCTATCTACATTTATGCAACAAGATCACATTGAAGTTGAAGACCAATGTACGTGACGTCATCACCAATGCAGACTGCCAGCATACACCAGGTACGTGTCTCTCTCTCCTCCCCTCATCACACCCTGTCTCCCCCACTGCATGCGCCTCCTACCCGAAGATCACCATCGCCATCACCGCGCCTGCGCCCAGCAGCCCTGCTATGGCCGCCGTGCGCCCGCTGCCTCAGCAGCACCCCTCTCTCACCTCTGCGCCTGTGCGTGCGTCTGGCCTGCAGTGCTAGCGCCGCTGCTCGTGCGCTAATGCAGCAGCGTGGCCGCATTGCCCACCCAAGCCAGAATCCCTTGCCCTTGGGGGCTCACTTTCCTTTACAGAAAGTGGGCTGGTCAGGGCCTGGCGTGTAGGGGCCCAGTAGCTTCAGGTTGGTCCAAAGTATCTGCGCCCAGGCCCAGTTTCAGATAGTGGCCTGGGCCTCGTGCAGTTAGGCATGCCCAGGTAGCCCACGAGGCTCCAACTGTTCGGTGCGATCTCATTGGCTCGTCGCATGTGTGTGATGCAGGAGCTGCTTTCTCATTGGTCCGGGGCCGCCACGTGATGTGTCGGCCTCTCACTGCGTGTGCCCAGGGCGCAACCACCTGCGCCCTGGTCTCAACTGTACGGCGCAGCTGTTGCTTCTGGAAGGAGCCAGGGAAGGCTCACGTTGCTCTGTAACCAACTGGCTTGCTCCAACTGTCTGGTACCCCACATACAAGAATGGCAAAAATAGGCCTCACATGGATATGCAGGCCCGCCTTCAGTTAGGGCGGGCAGGAGGCTTGCTGGGGGCCTGAGCCCAAAACGTCCGTGTGCTCGACGAGGGCCTTGCGAGGGTTCAATACTCGCAATTGGATCCTACCTGGGACATGGAAATATGGAAGATACTAGATGGGACCGGGAGTGGAACTGGGACGAGGGTGGACAGTTGCGAAGTCTTTTTTTTATAATATAGTTGTTACATAATCCCTCCTATAAACTCCTAAAAACAATAGTGGTCCTCGCGTGACGCTTCACGCGGACCCAACAAAAGAACGAATGGGAGGTGATATCGGTGGGGCGTGGGCTGTTTGGGAAGGTGTACGTAGAAGAAGCTGGTACAGACACACCCTCCGTGTAAACATGACAACATCCAAGACGAGGGGGAGGAGGACGAAGACGTGGAGGAGCGGGAGGAGAGTAAAGACGTGGACGGCGGAGGAGCGGGAGGAAGACGAGGATGAGGAACACAACGACAAAGATCCGAAAAAAAAAAAAAGACAGAAAAAGGGTGCCACATGGCATGAGCAGGGAAGTGAGTGGGGGAGTTTATAGCAAGTACATTACAACGACCAAGGCGAGGAGCAGCGGCAGGAGGAGGAGATGGAGGAGGACGAAGACGTGGAGGAGGAGGAGGCGGATGGAGGAGCAGAAAGGAGGAAGACCATGATAACGAAATGACGAGAGAGAGAGAGAGAGAGAGAGAGAGAGAGAGAGAGAGAGAGAGAGAGAGCTGCTTGCGCTGCTCCTCGCTGGGCTCCTCTTGCTGCCTTTGCTGCGCCCACTGCCAGCCCTGCTGTGCCTGCTCCAGGTCTGCTCCTTGCCTGCTATGGCCGCCTCGTTGCCGTGCTTCTTCCTCCCTCTGACGATGGCCGTAGTGGCGGGCATGCGAGCTTGAATGTTGTTGCGGGCGGGGAGGCAGCCGAACTCGCAAGGCGGGAGGAGGAATTCAAAGACTGCGCCCACTACCAGACCGCCACGATGCAAGGACGGCGTTAAAACAGCCAAAAATTTCTGGCCCTACCGGATGCCCCTTCAGGGCCGAAAAAAATCTGCTTGTACTTTTGGCTGGCGGCCCTGCGCGCGGCGAAACGCCCTGGACCGCCAAAAAAAAGATTGGCCATTGGCCAAATGGTCTGGAATCCGGACCGAGATCCGGACACGTTCGCCGGACACCGGCTAATGGACAGTCCGGATCTCTGTCCGGAGGTCCGGATCGCTGCCATGGTTGTGATTGATGTTGGTCTGCTAAAAGGGAGTCTCGTCTCTTTCCTTTTTTGGAGTTTTTTTCTTTTTATGGCCCTGGAGTCTTTTCTTTTTCCTTCCTTCAAGAGAATGTGAATAAATAAAAACCACAAAGAAGCGGAAAAAAGGAGAAAGCTCCCAGGGGTGACGTCCCTCTAGCTTGCATTAATCATTTCTGCCCATTGATCTTCCTAATCGACGGTCTGCAATGAATAATCAGGGCTAGTGGGGCCTGGCCCCAGTAAAGTGCAGCTATGGAGCTCGGTCCACAAAGTCCTGTTCGAATTTTAAAATAAGAAACTACTTATTAGGGTTTGAGTTCAAAAAGTCAAAAAAAAAACATGATATGGCGATTCAAGCACGGCATGACTTCGAGAAGGCCAAAAAAAACATCAAATGCCAGTCTGCACACCACTGCCCCCTGTCGGCAAAAAACCTGACACGCCTTTTGGGAAGTGGTGCCGTGCTTGGATCTCCTTTTCAAACTGGCCGAGATTATTTTACCCGCTTGAAACTCTATCGTTACTGAACTGCACTTACCACTTAAACCACGAGTACTTCCTAAAGTCGTGCCCGTTAAGGAGCCACGATTTTAGGAAACGTACGGGCCACTACAGGAGCGCCCAAATTCATCCGAGTAGAAATGTTTCTACTGTATTTTTTTTCTGCGGTCAATAGCTGGGCCAGTACTGGTGGTTTAAAATAAACCCTAAAACAAACATGTGTGTCTATCATTGATGGTTTAAATTTTAAATTTTAAATTGGTTTTGCATTGTATTCTTCTTTTTTTTTTCTGCAGATTGCGATCGCCAACTCAAAGCTGAGCATTCACAACTTCAATGCTTCCATTTCTGTCCCAGCCGCTTTGGGGCTGGACCCTAATGTCCTGAGGTTAGAACTTTTCTTTTGCAAACCCCCCCCCCCCCCCCCCCCCCCCGCACACACACCCCGGCCGCCCGCTCGGCCCCCTATTAAGGGGGAAGCTGCCCAGCAGTCTCTAATGGCCCTAAGATTGTCCTATCCATCGGGCTTTAACGGTATTGTTGTTTTTTTCCCCTTTTGTCTTTCATATGTTTATCAACTTAATCTACAGTCACCGCCTCTAAGGTCTGTACCATTCTTTTTTTTCTTGTTTTTCATACTTCTTAAAAAAGTTAATCCCTTTTTCTTTTTTTTACTGAAGCTAGATGACCTTGAGGTATGATCATCGAACTGACCAGAATTGTTCTGTTCTGTTCATCTCATTGCTTCTTGATTCGTACTTGGGTCTGGGTGTACCACCTGAGCTAGGCCCGTTGGTAGGTCTGTACCATTCCGCCATGAGCTGCGTTGTGGCATACACAGGTTCCCTTATGGGCCCCTGCAGGGCCTCACCAGGAAGATTAAGGGACCACAGGGTTCAACACGACGTAGGGGTGGTTAGTTGGGTCTGTTTTCCCGGTCCAGTGTCGTTTCGGACCAGGGGTTAGTTTAGGTCTGTTACCGGGTCCAGGTTTACTTTCATGGTGTTATCAACTTCCTCCCAGCACTCCCTCGACGCATACTGTCGAGGAACCCAATCCTTCTGCTCATACACCACTCAGATTGAGGATAAACTCTATTGCATTCTACTTCTTTATACTATTCTACACCATACCATTCCCTCTGCGTGCGCTCATCCAGGTCAGTCACCAAAACGCCCATACGAGCCTTCAACCCTGTGTACGGATCCGGGCCGCCCGGCCGACCAGCGCCTGCCCGGGGGAGGTCCCGGGCGGCCTGGCCGGGCGGGCAGCCCGGTTGGGGGCCGGGCACCCCCAGCACACCTTGTTGGGGGGGGGTTTCCGACCCAGAACCGCCAAGTTCTGGCCTCCCCAGGGCCTACCGGGTCCGACCAGGCCCAAAAAAAGGCGCGTCAGGCCCGTGAGGCCAGTTTTTTTTTTCGAATTTGTGATGGCCATCTGGCCGTCGATCATCCATGATCGACGGCCAGAGGGCCATTTGTTTTTTGGAGGGAAAATCAAGGCCCCGTTTGAACAACCGACTGGCTGGGGCGGCCTGCATCGGCTGTCCAAACGGGGCCCCTTCTCCAGCTGCCTGCGTTCGTGGTTCAGCCACCCTCGCTCCTCGCACTGCCCGTTGTCGCCATCGCCTGGGAGCTGCACTCCCCCGTCGCCGTGGAGTCGCCCGTCGCCCGTCGCCAACGTCATGGAGTCGCCCGTCGCTCGTCCCCCTCTCATCATCATCTTCTTCTTCTTCTTCTTCTTCTTCTTCTTCTTCTTCTTCTTCTTCTTCTTCTTTTTCTTCTTCTTCTTCCTCTTCTTCTTCTCTCCTCCTCCTCCTCTTCCGACTATCTTCTTTTTCTTTTGTTTTTTTGTTCCATTCGTCAGCGATAGGTCGCGAGATAAACGACAGGTAAGAAAAAAAGAAAAAAACTGCTCCGCTCGTCTTCTTCCTCTTCTTCTTCTTCTTCTCTCCTCCCCCGCCTCCCCCTTATCTTCTTCTCCTTCCTCTTCTCTCCTCCTCCTCCTCTTCCGCCCATCTTCTTCTTCTTCTTCTTCTTCTTGTTCTTCTTCT